GTGTGTGTGTGTGTGTGTGTGTGTGTGTGTGTGTGTGTGTGTGTGTGTGTGTGTGTAGTATAGTATATATATATATATATATATATATATATATATATATATATATATATATATATATATATATACCACCATACAGTTCCGATACTAAATTTTCAAATTTCTTCATTATTAGTGTATATGATGTGAACGAAGTGATCACCACGATTCCGTGCACTGTATCTATAGCTCGACGTTACGTTGATACGCACTGTATGAGCAAGTTCAAAGTGATACACATTCAATATTTTAAATAGGTGCATGCCATAGCCTTCTGTACAATTTAGAGGGCTATGTGCATTCAAAGTGTCGTGTGCGATGTATGTAACAGCAATGTTAATGATTTAGTATGTCTGAATGCTGCGCGCCAAAACTAGATCGGTCGTTTGCGAGCGCCACAATCGCACAAAAATGACGTTTTCTCAATATAAACATCAACCTGTGAGTGTCGTCCTGTCAAATGTCATCTGATCAAGCTGTGTCTGTTATTTTTCCTTTTATTTTAAAGTGCTGTTTTTCGTTAAAAAAAATAATGCAAAGTGTATAATTTCGAGGGCTATGAAAATAACTATTTTTGGGATTTTGGGTTTTAGGGTGTACTTACGACTGTTCTTTTATTGGGAGGCTGTTACGTCGTTCTCCCACATTCCTCGTTGATTCGATCGGCGACCTTACGGCTTACAGGCTTACACCGCTATAACCCCAGTATTGTGCCTGGTATTCTTCCTCGCCTGCTTCTCCAGGAGTCTGTTCGCATGTGCTACTAATTCCTGCACTCGCTGTTCCTTATTGAGGGTCTGCGTGCCTTCTACAACACATCTACGTCTCAGCTTGCTTTCCTCTCAACCAGGTGCATGCACAGTCTGTGCAGCGGCGAATAGCCGTATTTCCCATCATCTTTGACCTCTGTTCTGCCTATCGGAGGGAACTGCCATAGATATGGGCAATAGTATTGACACAGGCGAACCACTCTCACAAACGACATCTATACAGCACTTCCTATAAATACTAACGACCGCACATGAATTTCAGACTTCAGAGTCGATGGGCATCGGAAAATAGGCAATGACGTGCACGAGCCACGGCTTCTACCACCAGCACAAGCACAGAACCGGCCCATAAATGACAAGAGACACACAACGGACGTATGATGGTGGGTAGCGGTCGGTACATACACCAAAAGGGCGCAACGGGTGTGTTCATGGAGGTACAAGGCACGGGTTCAAAGGTTTACACACTCCTGGCAAGAATAAGGACAATGCTGAGCACACCAGCTACCCGGTGACATCACCTGAGAGATGCCGTATCATCGATAACAGGGCATCATACATAAGGGGGCGAGCGCAGACAAGGGAGAACTGGACGAAATCAGGAGAGACAGACTAGTATCATAGTTCTGGATGGACACGATGCGAGCTTGATGAGTACTTGGATTCGCAACAACTAAAATTTAAATGCGCTACCGTTATACCATCTAGGTAGATAGATAGATAGATAGATAGATAATGTGTGGGTGGGTGGGTGGGTTGGTGTATGGATATGTGTGTGCGTGTGTGTGTGAGTGGGTGTGTGTGTGTATGTGTGTGCCTTCGTAGACGTATATACTCAAAATACTTTGATGAAGTATGTTTAATATATAAATACCTGGAAAGGCATTCTTGTCTATCGTAGGAAATTGCCATTGATATGAAGGGCCAACATTAGCATCTAAAAAAAATATTGTCGCTATGCAGATGCATAGTTGTACTTGTGATTGTTATTTTGTGAAGACGTATACTCACACGCGAGACATGCAAAATGATTTCAGATATATCTTCGCTCGATACACACCTTGAAAGATACCTGGATGGTTTCGTTAATGTGCACCTCTTTTCAGCCCGCAATATCAGAGCAGGACGTGGTAAGAAATGTAATTTACCTACTGGAAGGGATCGATGGCGAGTACATGAAGATCGTCGATAGGAACCCGCCAGTCATGCAACAGAACAGTAACGATAGTGACGATATGATGCAGGATGGTACCGATCATTTGATGGGAGACAGTCCGGAGTACGTGTGTGTATATCACGCTTGTAAGCCGATCAAGACCCTGTTGCTTGCCACAGCTTACTCTTTTGTGTACTGTGCGCTGTGCTTGTGGCTATTTCTTACACATGTTCATACGTATTTGCATGTTCTTGCAATATTTTTTATGTTAATGTTAGTATGTGTGTGTGCAAGCGTGGGTTATGTGCACTTGTGCGTTCAGATGATCTCGTATATAGTTCTTTCCGTGTGTAATGTGTACGTGCGGTTTTGCGGTTGTGATAATAAGTCTGAGTGCGCGCATACACTGGTCTACTAGCCGCAAAGTGCTCGTAAATATGAACATCTGATTATACGATCCGCGTTCAAGGTGTTTTGTATCACTGGTCTTGTCATTTGATGTTTTGACCAGAGGTGCACCGTAAATTGCGGAGCACCCATCAACTATGAGCTTGTGCATACTTATGACATATGTGAAAGTGCACATGTCGACGTACACTATATTTTCTCTGACTTTTGTATTTTGTTTAGCATCACCTTCATTCAATGACATCGGAAACATGTGTGCCATGTTTCGCCCCATGCCTATCCATTCTCCGGATTGTACGGTTCCTTCTAACCTATTTTCTTATAATCTGCGTTCAGACCTACCACACCGTCAGTAAGTGACTTCCGGGTTGACATCCATGCGGCAGTAGACAATAGCACTCGCCGCCTCATTCGAGAAAATGTAAGTAGCAATGGCATTGTGGAATTACATATACGTGTTTGCCATGTAGGCTACAACCCTGTGCAAATGTTCATCGGGCTATCCCGTACCACTTCATAGCACGCAATTCCCATCACCGTGGTAGCTTCTGCTCGGGTAAACTGTGCGATTTTATGCTGATTGTATAGATGTTTGGGTAGTTCTTGTTCTGCTTCTGCATGGTCTTGTTATTGACAGTGATATATTAATTTATCCGACAGTACACAACGCTTGTTTTGGTTTCGTTTCCGTGTACGGTTTGATACGAAGATTGATTATTTTACCTCTATGACTAGATGGCTCCCAAGGGACTGTGCTTCAAATATCTCGAGACCTTCATCAACTCGAATTCGGCAACCGGCCATGACACAGGTGCGTCAATTATAGTTACTGTACTAGTACGTGTCTATGTGTACGTTGACGTGTCTATGTGTTTGTACGTATATGTATTAGTGCACACGCGTGGCATTTATACGACAGAATTAGATGACATTTGAGACATCTTTAAACCTTTATTAGGCAGCCAGCCATGAACGTCAAGGCGTCAGACATGGATGACGAATTCACTCGAGAAAAGGAGAATTGTTTTATGTGTTATTGAAGGTGAATGTATGTGTATGTCTCTATAGGTGTATACACATGAATTGTATGTGATTGTCAAAGTTCCACATTGTAAGGTTATGCACATGGGTGCACGTAAGTGTGGTGTACATGTATAACTTTGAACTCGTGGATGTGCGCGCATGCTTTTATGTCTATATAAATATATACACAAAAATTCGGAGCTGATGAACCCACTTCTAAATTATTGACATTGTAGTGCAAATTAAGCTAAGATAAGTAGATATGTTCCTATGCGAGTATGAGTTTACGTGATTAAATTTTACTAATCTTGGACGACCATCAGGAACACCTTTAAGCGATATATCCCCGTGTTTGGAACCACTAATTTTACTAAGTGCATATAGCTATAAACAAAGCACTACATCTAACAAATGCTTACAACCAGGCAAGGATTTAGAAGTAGTGTATAAACAGGCGTTTAAAGTCGTTGCCACGCCGGAGACCCTTTTTCTCCCTGTATCTAAGTTCTCGAACTCAGCAACTTCGACTTGATATTAATAATTTGAACTAGCACACTCACCATACTCCCACCATGGCCATGTGTTAGTTCTGTGTTAGGTATACTATACCTCTGGACTAGACCGACTTTCACGACTGGAGATTGCGTATGCCAGCGAAGACTCAACTGATATCACGCACATGTCGAAAAGATGCCATGAGACCATTCCGGCCTCGGCGAGCATGAAAATAGTACCCCGTGACAATCTGACTTCAGTCTAATTGTCCCATTGACGGTGCATATCCATGTGTCGATCAAGTTCACGGCTTGAATTTAAAGTCATTGCGCACACGTGGCATCTAAAGGCATCCGAAGAAACTGGCGTGGAGGAGCTCCTGTGCCACTCGACATGTCCATGTCTACGCAGGTGTGCATTCATCTCTGCAACAGTACCAAATGTCTCACGGCATCCTTTCACCGCACAGGCAAAGCTCGATCTCCGCTCCGAAGACGTACGATCTCCTACACGATGACCAATTCCAGTGGTATTTGGAGTTCCGAGTCCGTCGCGTTTGAGGGGTATTAGCGCCTGAGGGCCATCACCTACTGACTTTCGCGGATTTTCTGCGTGGTCCGGTGCCCTGGCGATCTCGAAGTCAATAAACGACGTCGTTTGTCTAGCAGAACCTAATTCGCGCGGATACCATTCCTGGCCTAACTGCCGCCTTGAGTCGCGCCAGGGAGCTGGTGCATCGTACGGCGCACCCTGTACTGAGCCAGTGTGGCTTCGAGTGCTACCCAGTAACTGTCTGCTATGTGCAGTGGAACCTCTTCGAACCCTGGGAGCGGTGGTTTTGATATTTATACGCTTTGCTGAACTCGGCTGTGATTGGCTTGAGCTGCCTTGTTGCTGATAAGCTACCGTTTTGGGACTTCTCTGTGGGACGCTATTCTCGGCGCCAGAAGACCAAAAAATTGCTGTTCCTATCGCTCCCACGTCGTCATTCTTGCTCGTATGTGAAGCTTCGTGTCGACTGAAAGCCTCGGCACCACTGAGCTGCGCTCCACAACCATTGCGTGCGCAAAGGTAGATGCCGGCATGCATACGCGCTGTGTGTTTGTGATAGTTCTCTAGTGAGTCAAAGCTTTGAGCGCATCCATTCCAGCCACATGTGGAAGCTACATGATTCTGACGAGATGTCACTTCAAACGAATGGTCTCGTTGCAAGTTGCCGCGAGTGGTAGCAGGGGCGCTCCTACTAAAGCTGTCGTACGGACCATTTGGGTACCTTGAAGTCATCGGCGGCATAGAGGAAAACGGACGAATCTGTAGCGCCGATACCCCCTGCTGATCATAGGAACCGAAGTTCGCTATAGCTGCATCATTGGAGCACTGCGCAGACAAGTATCTTGACTTTCCTGGAAAAAATCTGGATTCCGGAACGTCAGAGAAAGATCGCTCGGCAGTGTCATGTCCTCCACGAGAGGACTGTGTTGTGATCCGTCGCTTCCTATGGGACTTTTGATGGTCCTGCAACTCGGCTTCGCTGCTAAATACCGCAGCACAATCTTCCCATCTACAAAAGAGGTGGCCACCCTGAGCTTCACCTCCCGAATGCTTGTGCAAAATGTGGGCATTCAGCGCTTCTCGTAAAGCGAACTTTTCTGGGCAACCAGATAGGGTACACTTGTACTTTCGATATGAGGTATATTTCGGAACAGATGTTCTATCGTGGGAGCGAACATGACTTTTCACTGCATCCTCTGAAAAATAACGTTCTTTACATCCTTCATATGGACATACAAACTTCTTGTGTTCTACCATGTGCTGCATGAGGTGCTCTTCACACGTGAATATCTGTCCGCACGAACCTATCGAACACACATAGCGCGAGTACGATGGGCTCGTACTCTGTCGACTTGAAGCAGTGGTGCCCAGCTGAGTGCAATGCTCATACATATGCTTCTTCAACTCTGATGGACTTGAAAACCTGCGGCCACAATTCTCCCATCTACAAATCAACATACGATGTGACTCTACATTTGTGTGGTACTCCGATGCAACACCTGAATACTTCGAGCATGGCCCCAGCCACTTGCATATTTTTCTACTAGTAGATGAAGATGTGCCAGTATTTTCCCCGTCGTCTCCGCATTGGATTGCGTTGGCGTGCTCCGCCAAGTGCGATATCAAGGCTGATTCTGTCTTGATGACCTGCTTACATCCTTCCCATTCACACAGATATGCCGTATGATTCAATACATGAACCATGAAGGCTTCGCTACTGGATTTGCTCTGGCTCCTACACTCTTTTCGACAGTCTTCCCAGCCACATTTGAATGCGCCTCTCTTGTTCTTGTGACTGTATAGTACACTCTGATGCGTGTCCATATGCATACTAAACGCGATGTGAGAGACAAAGTTCTCGCCACATGATTCCCAGGCGCACGAGTATTCCACATGCGACTGCAGGTGGACTCTGAGGTCGATTAAGGATTTATGTGACTGTTTACAACCCCCCCAAAAGCACACATAGCTCTCATGCGCTTTGGCATGTTCTAATCGCTGTGATCTCGAGGTCAAATTTGCACCACAGTTCTCCCATGCACACGTGTTGCCGTCATGTGCACTTAGGTGCGATCTGAATCTCTTCATCGATGTAAAAACTTGACCACACCCCTCCCACTTGCAATCGTATCTGTGATGTGCTGCCATGTGCATTGAGAGTTCGCCGTGAGTAGCCAGTTGTTCAGAGCAATTGTCCCATCCGCAACTGTACGCTCGATGTTGGTCAACGTGTCTCTTGAGCAATCCCAACTCATCGAAAACTTCATCACAATCGAGCCATAAGCACGCATACTGGTCTTCATCAGGCTCGTCAGGTACTGCTTGTTCGTTGATCACGGCTTCCATCAGACGAGTACGCTGAGCAAGTTGTTCGCTCGTTGGTGCCAATTCCGTTCCTTGCGAGGCATTGGTCCTGACAGAAATTTCAGTACTTCCATTGGCAGTAGAATGTGACATGTCTCCCTTCGTGTTCTGGGTGGATGTGTTCGCCGGCGTGTTTGTATGAGAAGGATGTGATCTGTCTGTGCTACTGACTTTTGAGCTGGGTTTATTTTCGGTTGAAACACCAGGCAAAGTATCTACTTGAGAATAGTTCCGCGACATAACAGTCTCGATGTCATCACTTTCGGCAATTCTTTTGAAATGTTCAGCCTCGATGTTCCCTTTATCGTTCCTAATAGGTGTTTGTCCCGAGTCAATTGCACATTTGACTTTAAGATGTTCAGACTTCGGAGACTGCGTCTTTTCAAGTATATTTTCCGCTTTTTGAAGCAGTCCACATGTAGACCTATGCCATGTCGAAGCCTGCGTGGCCAACTATACACATTCAAAAAGGGAAATACCGACTCAGCTCTTGGACAAGACCACATAATGTTACAATGACAGATTCACTATCTATATTGCTGCTATAGTGGCGCTTCTTGCTCCCATGATACGCAGCATGCAGCTGATTTCAAACTGTAATAGGTCAATTTGATCGCAATTGAACATGCACCTGGTAAAGTACCTGGGAAATTTCGGGTTCTATATATATCTGCGATACGAAATCATCGGTGAAACAAAGAGCGCTGTTGGTGGTGTATCGCTCTATAGAAAATATGTTTGCTCGCGATTTAAGAAACATGGGAATCACTATTTGCATTTAGACACAAAACTGTGGTTATTTCCGTGTACCGAGGCAGAATGTATCACTGCAGGTAGACAAATATCGACTGGTGATTGTTGTAACAGCAAAGTAATAATAATACTGTAAACAAACATCTTTTGATAAAAAAATAGATGAAAAAGCCAAATTTCATCTTTGATTGTAGCAGCGAAGCAAAATAATATTGTAAACGAACATCTTGAAACGCAAGACAATCAAAATTTACCTTCTGGTGGTCGGCGCAGAAACCTGCACCACATGCACATCCACGGATGGCGGTTCCGCGGCAGACGGTACAGGTTTCATCGACTGGTAAGTTTGTTTGCATATTGTATCGATATTAGCACATCATTCAGCAAGATTGCATTCGTCAGTCCTGCGATTCTTATATGAGTTTCCTAAGCTTGCAAATGAATGTTCGTCTACTAAG